GGAGGATCCAGAATCATTTAGTATCTGTGTCTTTATATACTAGTATAAGTATAAGTATAAGTATTAACACATTAATAAGAAAACTTATTAAACAGTACAAACAAAGAGTTGTTATTCCAGCACCACGGACAGCTCCTTGGCTTGTCTCTGCTGCTGAACTACTGAGATGAGTTTGAACAAAGATCGTCAACAAGACATTGTTCTTCCTCTGAGCTCCAGACATCAGCATTCAAAGTGTTTCTCCTTTTGATAGATGGTTTTCTTTAGACACTTCACTGTAGAGCAGCAGCTGGAAAAAATCTGTTTTCTATTTTCTTTCTAACTTTTGCATGACTGGTGCTAAGATCATTTAAATGTGCTCACCTAATAATTTAGGAATGTGTAAATAATGTGCTCTTGTTTCCTGTTGCACACTTCATGACTTCTGATCTCCTTAAGAAGAGACATTATTAATATTAACAAACGAATCGTGTCCCTCTTCTTCCTACAGGACTGAGGGGAAATAGAGTGGAGATATGAACGAGTCGCTGGTGGTGAATGACTCCTCTGCGTCTCCCGTGGCTGGAGAATCTCTCTCCTGGATGGAGGCTGAGTCTCCAGAGCACAACGGCAGCCTGGAATTCTCCACCGCCCCGTTTGATATCCCCATAAACCCGTGGGACATCATGCTCTGCTTGTCGGGCACCGCCATCGCCTGCGAGAACGCCATAGTTGTAGCCATCATCTTCTACACGCCGACGTTAAGGACTCCCATGTTCGTTCTCATCGGGAGCCTGGCCACAGCAGACCTCCTGGCAGGCATGGGATTAATCCTGAACTTTGTGTTTCAGTACGTCATCTCCTCTGAGACCATCAGCCTCATCACTGTAGGCTTCCTGGTGGCCTCCTTCACGGCCTCCATCAGCAGCCTGCTGGCCATTACAGTGGACCGGTACTTCTCCCTCTACAACGCCCTGACGTACTTTTCAGAAAAGACGCTTCAGTACGTGCACCTGATGCTGCTGGGGACCTGGGGGGTGTCCCTGTTCCTGGGCCTGCTGCCGGTGCTCGGCTGGAACTGCCTGGAGGAGCCGGCCTCCTGCAGCATCGTGCGCCCCCTGACCCGGAGCAACCTCACGCTCCTGGCCACTTCCTTTTTCGTGATCTTCGTGCTCATGCTCACTCTCTACTTCAAGATCTGCAAGATCGTGTGCCACCACGCCCACCAGATCGCCCTCCAGCAGCACTTTTTCGCCACGTCACATTACGTCGCCACTAAGAAGGGCGTTTCCACTCTCGCCATCATCTTGGGGACTTTTGGAGCCAGCTGGCTTCCCTTCGCCATCTACTGCCTGGTCGGTGAGAAGGAGTATCCGTCAGTGTACACCTATGCTACACTGCTGCCGGCCACCTACAACTCCATGATCAACCCCATCATCTATGCCTACAGAAACGCAGAGATCCAGCGCTCCATCTATATGCTCCTCTGTGGCTGCTTTCAGTCCAAAGGAGCCTACCGGTCCAGGTCCCCTAGTGAGGTCTGAGCAGGTGTGTGTGTGTGTGTGTGTGTGTGTGTGTGTGTGAGAGAGAGAGAGAGAGAGAGAGAGACAGAGAGAGAGAGAGGCAGAGAGCAAAAAGACCAACCACCCCATCACCATCGACAATCTGCTTCAAGTTGACAGTGAATGCTTTACAAACACAGGGGGGGGGGGGGTGATGCTAGAAGTGGATCTGTGCATACTGTACTTTGCATCTGCACTTTACTGTCTCGACACAAGTTAGAGTGAGATTTTTGGGAAAAAAAACGCTGTGAACAAGAAACTCCTGTGAAAAAGTACAAAACAAAACCTGTGAATGTAAATGAGAAAAGGAATGAAAAATCCTGCACTTTATTCAATGTTTTTTTTGAAATGCCAAAGCAGTATTGTACAGCCTGTATTGTGTTTCAATGTTTGGACGTGTGAGTATACTGTGCCATTTTTTCTATTTTGTATTGTATTGTATCTGATGTACATTTTCTACAAGAGAAATAAAGAGATTAAAAAGAAGCTGTGGCTGAATCGTGTCTTTACTCCAGAACGGTTCTATGACAAGGATCTTTGTGTCACACTCATACACGTTTCAGTGTGTGTGTGTGTGTGTGTGTGTTACTCATGGTGTGGGGACCAAAAAGACAATCGCACCATAACTTGAAGACGTAATTTAAGCTTCGGTTAAGGTTAGAAGTAATATAAATGTAAGTCAATCATCTGAAGTGTGTGTGTGTGTGTGTGTGTGTGTGTGTGTGTGTGTGTGTGTGTGTGTGTGTGTGTGTGTGTGTGTGCTGTGTGTTCCAGTGTGTTTTGCCTCCCCTTCAGGATGAGCAGCTGAAATGCAACTTAATTTACGTCCAACTCTTGATTGTTGCACAAGTCAAATAAGTAGTTTTGGTATCTATGTGGCTCTGCACATGGTTGCACTGATAAGATACGATAAATGAAAAGGAAATGAAAAAGGTCTGTGTGGACCGTTGCCTTATCTCCCCTCATCTCATCAACATCCACAATTATGATTCAGGAGTAAAGTGGCCCACGGGCACGTGTATGTGAGTGTGTGAGAGAGACGTGGGGAGTGATAATGATTCCGTCTGCTCTCCGTCAGCTGTGCCGCTATAAGGCAGCCACAAACACAGCAGTTTATCTGGCAGGCTGTTTAAACAGGTACTGGTGGAGTGCGTCAGAGTTCCACACAGGACACAGGGTGCTGATGTGGACCAGGAGACCTGCTGGTGGGTTTGGACACAGAGAGAGATGAACGTGAAAAAGTGACATAGTTCATTTCTAGGCTGTTTCTGCTGCTACAGGTGGTAAATACATGTCATACTTTGTTATCTGCAACAAGGAGGTTATGGTTTCATCTGTGCTTGATTGTTAGTTGGCAGGATTACGCAAAAAACACTTATACTACGAATTGCATGGAGGGGTGGGGCCTCTTCCAAGGGGGAGATCCTTAACTTTTTAAAACATTTTTGTTGTTTTGTTCAAGAATAATTAGTGTGAGTGTGTGCAATTTGGTGAAGATCCAAATACAAATCCAGATCTCGTGACTTTAACTGTGGTTTGTTGGAGATATGTGCTCTAATGAGTGTCCTAATAATAATGGCGATAAATGTAAATTTCAACTTGTGCACTTTTCATGTTGCTTAAAATATATGTCTCATGGGCTCAGTGTCTTGCCCATGGACACTTTGACACAGGGACTGGGGGAGACGGGTATCAAACCGCTGACCCTTTGGTGAGCGGACAGCTCGTTCTATCACCTGAACCACCGACGTCCCAATTGTGAGCAAAAACTCTAGCAGCTGTTTGATTCCTTTGTGTTTCAGTTAAAGAGTAATCACAACTTTTAATTTGTTGCAAAATGGAAAATACTTGGCACAGTCGTTTATGCAACAGCCCTCCTTTAACTTTTCAACTCCCTCGCAAACTGTTTTGCATCCCGCTTCCACATGGTTCCCACACAACACTTTATATTCCCTCTTACTCATAATTCAATATATTCATGTTTATGTTTAACAACCAGCTTTAACCCCCTGCATATATTAACTCTGTGATTCCCACTTTGAACATGGCCTGCGACAGTCGTCCTCATGAGCACGGTAACATAATTACCGAACATTAAAATGAACATAAATTAGTTTTTGGTTTTAGTGCTCAAGATGAATTGTAGGAGAGTTTGACATTTCTTACTAAAAAGGATCTGTTGGTTAACACTTCATCTTCCACATACAGAGAATTGACTTGATTGCAATGACAGACGGCCATTTTGTCATATTTATTGACAGAAGATGGAGAGTCATCAGCAGGTTTTGGGTTCCCAAAACTTTCCCATAAGCCCCAGCAAAACAATATAAGATGCTTTCCCAGTATGTGTTAAAATCCGTATATGAAAAAAGCATGTGCTGAGTTATCAATCCCAACAATCAAATGAGGCACTTCTATCGCAAGAAACAGATTTTTTTTCATGTTTCATTAATAAGAAACTGTTTCTTTGGGTGTAAAAGGAAATTGCTTTTATAAGAATGTCTTTATGCACCATGAAGCTTTAGATTTGAGTCCAGAATGAGACGAGGATGCTGTAGCCATCTTGTCTTTTTCAGCTGGTCCATACTTCACCTGAGCTCTTTTCACAACACATATTTAAAAACAAGACTGCATCTCTTTTCATTTTTTCCCCTGTGTTGGAAAGCTCAGCCCCACATGTGTCAACCACAGCTCTCACACAACAACACCTCCTCTGCACGTGGACGTGATAATATCCAGTTTGAGATCGGTGAAGCCTTCAGTCATTTTAAGGCTGATCAGAATCTGGGGGAAAGGTGAAGGATGGTGAGGACCACTAATGGACCCGATCATCATGAGAGCAGAACATGTTTGTTCACTCAGGGTTTGTTTTCTCCACCTTAACAGATGTTGCTTTCGGTCCCTCTCTGTGGCAGCCGGCCACCTGTTTGTACACATGGCACAGGACACCATATATAGTGGTTACCGATTAATTCTGTTAAATGTTACAAATGTATTCGTAGATACAATTAATCCAATATATAAATGTTATATTTTTTGTAAAGGTAGTAATTTTCTTTTACGTCAACAATCCACTACACCCAGGGAACAGAAACATACAAACCACTACAGAGGAAAAGGTTCAACCTTTGTTCTGATGAACTGTTCTTGTGACTGTAGATTTGTCAAACACAATTATAAAAGCCAGATGGGTAGAATTTAGGTTTGGTTGCCATTCAGTGACAAACACTATCCACAGTACACCATGAACTGTAAATATAGGTGCTGATGCTGCATCTCTTATCTTTGCCACTTTCCAGGAATTAAGCTAAAATATCCCTTGTTCGAATGATTACATCTCATATGTCACATTTGGTGCCAGCCTGTGTTGTAGCGATCGGGGGATGGATCCCCGGTATTGACATCTCGTCGACACACACGCTCGACCAATCACAGTTCAGTCTAAGCTGTCAATCATGACCTTTCGCCCCATTTTTACAGGCATCAAATAACTAGTTAAAAAAAAAACACTTGAACAAACAAAACTTGAACTAAAATGACTGAAGCCATCTTTGAGAAAACTATTTGATGTGTACTTAGACTATTTAGTTTGGTCCATGTCCCATCCATTAACATAGAGGAGGCAGGGTGTATGACCTTTACTGCAGCCAGCCACAAGGTGGTGATTGAGACATTTTGGCTTCAGTTTTGTGAAGCTTTATGTGCAGGAGCATATAACATTAGAGGAATCAAGCAAAGTCTAATACAGGAGTTGAATACACCTTACGGTGATACTTGGACACGTCATCAGTGAAGAACCCAGGGTCATAGGGTGTTTCGGGTCTTTAATCTTCATACACCCTCTCCTGGGTGACCCACAATACATTTATTAATAGATCACAAATTCAATTCAAATTTGTCTTTTTGGATTCCCAGAAAACAAAGAATCATTAAAGAAGTGAGGTAATGAGGTTCTTTGACTTGTACCACATGTGAAATTTAAAATCACAAACAATTAAAAGCTCTTATTTAATCGATGTCATCTCTTCTCAGTGGCAAATTAATTAATATTAACAACTCTGAAATTCACCTGTGGACTTTCATTGATGTGACATCCATTAGACTAAATAGCGGCCGGTAGCCTTGTTTGAATTATGTAATGCTTAATCAGAGCAGACCTGAGCAGCTCTCCAGGCAATTACCAAAGTACACATTCGAATGATTCCCTCATTAATAACATTAATTACAGTAGTGTAGCAAATGCTCTCCGTAGCAACATTACTATTACTGAGTTGGACATTAGCTCAATGGAAAAAGCTTCGGCATCACCGATTGTGTAATCACACTAAGTGCAGTTTTTGCTTCTTTCCTGGGTCGTTGTTTTGAAGTCATATGGACGTGATGTCGCAGGAATGTTTGAGATACAGATGACAGAAGAAAAGACAAGAAGAAAAAAATCAACACAGGCGTTTGTCTCTGATTGGACTCCCTGTGGAGAGCACAGTGGAGTCCAGGGAAAATCATTGAAATCTTCTACATGGTGATTATTAGACACACTGGGGTTTACCACGATGAACACACACTCTTAGACACAGACACACACACACACACACACACACACACACACATTTTATCTCTTGAAAAGGCACAGACAACCCCACATCAGCTGCATAAAATCTGCTTTGCAATAAAAGCTATCATCATTTGCCTTTGTCCCTCTGCCTGTGGCCTGTTCAAACAGCAGTGTGTGTGTGTGTGTGTGTGAGTGAGTGTGTGTAAACCAGATGTTACTCATGTTGTGGAGACCTAAATCTCTTTACACAGTCACATTATGACTTGTCTTCCTTGTGTGAAAAAAAAGAAAATATCCATCACAAATCATGAAAATTAGACTTGTAGTTGAACTAGTGTGCGTGTGCGTGTGTGTTTGTGTGTGTGTGTGTGTGTGTGTGTGTGTGTGTGTGTTGACACAGGATTGTACTGTATGAGTGTGCTTGTTAGTAACCTGGCTCAGACGAGGATTGTGTCATGTGCAATTTACCAGATTGTGGGTGATTGTGCATGTGCTGCCTCTATGTCTATATTGTGTGTGAGTGTGAGTGTGTGTGTGTGTGTGAGTGTGTGTGTGTGTGTGTGTGTGTATGTGAGTAAGTGGGTGAGAGAGAGAGAGAGAAAGAGAGAGAGAGAGAGAGAGAGAGAGAGGACAATAACTCCTCTCCCTCTGACTTCTCAGAAAAACACTGTGTGCTGTGGAGAGTGTCGGGGACATTTTTCAAGGTACAGTGAGTTTAATAAGCACTTGAGGACACAATGTATTTATAGAAAGTAAGACAGTTTTTTAAGGGCAGATACAAATTATATCTGATATTTGTATGTATAGATTACATACAGATTACAGTATAACACCTGGGTTATGGGTATTTGGTATTTTATGGGTATACTCATCTGAAATCTCTTTTAAATTAAAAGGATCTGCCAGCCATCACATTAGGTTCTTACTTGGCGGGGAAGCAGTTTACATACTCAAAAAGGAACACAACCTCTAATTACGAGTGAGGATTTTAACACATAACTGGCACCCAACTGTCTGTGGAGCCCACTGACACACTGATGAACCTTCCTACCACACTCAGAACAGTAGAGTAGTGTTAGGCCACAACCTGACAAACACTTTTGTGTCTAATCTTCTCTCTCTCCACCCCTCACTTCGCTGTCTAACTCCTCTACTTGTCTCTGGCCTCATCTTCTCTTCTGGAGGAACTCCTCATTAAAACATTCATCAGCTCTCTGACTGTAGCCATGATGACTAATATGGAAATTAGATGTGGAGCAGATAAATCCATGTGTGATCAGCCAAGAGACTCAGGAATATTACTTGCATTAGTATCTGGGCATGAGGATTTAGAACTCTCCTCTATTATCTGGTTTTAATGCCGGCTGTTACAGGGAAATGAGTCAAAGACACTTTTGAAATCCTGATAAGTGCAGGAGGAGCATGACAGCGAGCTTGATTTACATCCAATACAAGACGTGTTCAGTGAAAACGATGTGTCATGGTTCATTAGAAACAATAAAACTTTTCAAATCAGAAAAGTAAAAGAAAGTTGTGAAAGGACTGTTAGAGGCCAAATAAACACTGTATCACATCACGTTTATCTTTTATAGCCTCCTCTGACTGAATTACTCAATGCTGGAAATACTTCATGTTCGTAAAGTTTCAAACACACATTTTCATTGTGGTATTGCTATTTTCATTTGAGTCTGATTATACTATAAATGTGCATAGGCACTGTATATACATTTAGCCAGGTGCCACACCTGTGTCATTTGATTCAAGTGAACTGAACCTCAAAGGGCAACATGAAAGGTTTGGAACCTGCAGACGTCACCAAACAGCAGTAGAAAAGTTGCATAATGAAGTCTGACCCGAGTGCAGACACTGAACCTCCACCCGCTGCAGCTGAGCTCAAACATCGCTCTGCTCAAGAACATAAAGCATTCAAAGTGACATCTGGCATTTTGCTGCTCAGACAGACCTATTCTTTTTTTTCTTTTTTTTTGAGTCATAGCAAAACCTGAGGCCGTGAGACAGTTTCATGAAAAGCAAAACAGCAAACAGTCACCATCTGACTGTGCAGGAGTATAGAGTCAAACAGAGGGACAGTTTTAACTGAGCAATAATATCAAAGACCACATGAAAACAAATATTCAAACTTGTCCGTAACGTGTCCACAACAATCGGTCTTGAAATCCAACAGCAGCGTTGCACAAGGGGCTTGTTTACACTGGTTTTATCTGGGGATGAGAGGATGAGTGTGTGTAGGCGTGACGTGGACTGTGCTGGTGATAATAGTGTGTGTGGGAGGGAGGGCACACAAATAACTGTTTGCTGAGCTGTCCAGAGTTTTCCCACCACAACTAAGAGAACCTGCCGAAGAAACAAAGGGATACTGATTGTATTCTGTTTTTTTTTTTTTACTCGCAACAAATCCTGTAAATAGACAAATATCAATAATTACAGTTTTTCTGCTAAGACGTATTTCCCCGAAACGTCCGCTCCATTTCAGTTAACACAAACACAAAGAATCAAGCTACTCTCAGAAAAAACCTTTGACTTATCTTGCAAAATCAAACAATTGATCCAAAACTATTTTATCTTTTCCCAAAATCAAACCCTGTTATTAGATAACACACAAAAACAAACCCTGCCCTCGTATGTAAACATGAAAACCTGCAGTGAAAATGATGCTTACTATGATTTAACAGTAAGCAACATGAATCATTGATTCTGCCTCAGCATCATATCTCTGCCACCGGTCAGATCTCAGCCAATCGTCTCCTTTGCTCAGGAATGAGGAAAGAATCCTTAGGTCTGCTGAATAGAACCAGTCAGACTAGATCCAACAGATCCTTTATCATCACATGCTGCATCCATTAAGATTTTCCTGGGTTTGGGGCTTTTGGTCACTTTCCACCACCATGCTGAGATAAACTCTTCTTTAGGGTTTAGAAGAAAGGGAGAGAATGGTGGAAGGCAAACATAAAGGCTGGTTATCGATAAACTATTCACACATTCTCTCACCACAGTGAAAGACAACAGGATGGATCAGGATGATCTGTCTGATCATGACCTCTCTGCTCATGTCGGAGCCAATCATCCTGTAGAGCCTCAGAAAGATTGATGACATTTAGTGTTGATGGTCCTCAAGCAAGATGACTGGACACGTGCATGTTGAGCGGTGGTGTGTCATCGATGACAACAGGTTGTTAGTCGTGTTTAACCTTTGGGGACTGTGCGTGTTTTGTTTAGAGAATGAGGTTTTAGTGTTTTGGCAATTCAGAAAAACTTCAACTTTATTCAACAGCACTTTAAACACATTGTTGATCCAAAGTGCTTTACAAAAAAATAAACTGTGATATTCATAACAACAAGAAAAGCAATCATAAAACCACACAGCACAACAATTTAGGCACATTGAAAGGCAAAAGAATAAAAATGTGTTTTCAGATTACTCTAGGGAAGAATAGGATGATGAGAGGGAGAGCGTTCCAGGGTAATGGATTCTAACAAGTATCATCTGACTTAATTATTCCTCTGTGGCATCGACATTAACTCCAGAAATCATTAAGATACATCAGTGGGTGATTCAATTAATTTCAGTTAATTCTACACCATCCTGTGACAGCATTGTTAAACTCTGTATTAATCCACAGCTAATAAATATGATTAATTAGTGATTTAGTTTTCTTTTTTTAACCTAGGTATTTATCTGTGATTGTTTTTAAAGATTTTCACTTGAAACCAAGAGGCCTGGTGCTGAGAATCACAGACAGCCTGTGGGAAAGTTGGAAATTATCAGGAGGGGGACTGACACAGTGTTGTGTTTGATTTTTTGGGAATTTGTTGATTTGCTGACAAAAGGAAACCAGCCTAACTTTTATCATGACAAATAGACTGAGGCCAGAATCAGTGGATAGGGAAAACCAGGGATATAACACTACTGCGTTATTACATTTTGCAACTTCAACTTAAAACTGTACATGTTTTAAACTATAGGTAGAAAAGGTTAAACCTCAGAGTGAGGATATAAACGTCTGAAGAACTGAGGTCAAACTTTTGTTTGAGTCTCAGAGAAGAAAACGGTTCTTAGGCTTCAATATTGACAGAAGACAAAGTCTGTGTTTTACAAGGTTCACAATTTTTCACCTGTTATTGCATGTTATAGTTTGAACAGGGGATGGATGCAACGTAGAATTTCAGTCCATAAAATGGGAACATGGGTAATGAAGAGACAGGTTTAAAAGATTCTGTCTTGTCTCGTCTTTTGAAAGTGATGAGAATCAATATCAGGAATGCTCTTTGATATTCTTCTACTGTCAGAATAGAGAGGAAGGCTGAAAGACTTACAACAGCCTTGTCCTCAGACCGTCCTCTGGTGCCACACTGATCACAGCATGGGTGAAAAAACCCTCCTCCTCTAGATCAGTCTCAAGCATCAAATTTCCTGATGAGAAAACATTTGTTGGACTAGTTTGAACCACCAAGTTTCATAAAAAAAGGACAACTCTAAATTTAAAGCTGATAGTCATTTAATGACTGATCCAAATGAGATTTTCTAAATAATATAAAGTGTGCAGATAATGAACACAAGACTGACTGTAAAGTGTTTAATTTATATGCATGATCCAATAACTGGTGAAACAACATTCACAAACATCTTTGGCATCTTTGAGTTCTTATCTGTGAATGGCTACTTCTGGGTGTCACAATACATTCTTCAGGTCCTTTGTAAATCCCTCAGCAACACAACAGCTCACATTCCATCTAACTGTCTGACATGTATAAGTACATTATGTGGCTCATACACTATTATCTATATGTCAGTAAAAGGCGGTCTTGATTGGCACCCAGTGTCATAAATACACTTTATAAAATACAGTAACAACAGATGAGTTTAGCTGAGGAAAGGACAAAATATGCCAATTTAGTTAAGTCAGTTTCCTGTAATACATTCCTGTTACTTGCAACACAGTGCAGATGTCGTACACGGGGGTTGAGGATATCATTGGGTGATGAACGGGCAAGTCTCATGTTGATTAATTATTCAGTGTTGTTACATGATAAATAGAGAAATACTCAACAGCCTTCTTCAGCTTTTTCTGTTCCCATAAACTGAGTAATAACAATAAAGTATAACCAGGTTTCAGCTTGCAATGAGATTTGAAAAATAGTTGTTATTTCAAAAGTTTAAAAAAGAGATAGTGAGATGTTTAAACATGTTCCGCTGCACTGACAGAGAAATCCATACAGAAGGAGACACAGATCATTGTTTAGTGTTTAAACATCAACACCGTCCCTGCTGAGGAAGCTGTGGCCTGAAGATGAGTTTGAGGTCCAGATGAAAAAAGAGACAATTAAATGATGCCACCTGCAGGCAGAACTGAGGTATGTCATCCATGCACTTTTTTTTATCTTTTTCATATGTCTGAACTCTTTATATACAGTCTATGGTCTGAATGTTGTTGCTCTAGAAATAGCAGTGGGTCCCTTCAAGAAGCTGTCTGATAGTCCTCTTCATTGTAGAAAAACATATAGTAGAATAGAGCACTGATAACAAGCAGAGCGACCGACAGTAGCATGTTCTTCCGGTTCTCTCCTCGTAGTGTCTCCAGCTCCTTGTCTAGAAAAGAAAAAACAAGATTGGGTGTGTGGTACTGGCAGGCTTCCTCTTTGTATGGCAGAACATTTATAGGGGCACAGTGTGAGTCACCATGTACAACTGAAAACACTGTAAAAATCTTCTTATATATAGACACAACTGTTTGTAAAATTAAATAACTCTTTTTCTTTTGTAAAATGTGAAAGAATTAGCAAAAAATCCTTGTAACTATTTCCCAGAGTTCACATATTATAAATGCTTATGTTGGCTGTTAAAAGCCCCAAAACATTCACACTAACACGGGGGACCGACAAATTCTGCAGATATTCAAGTTTGATCAGTTTAAACCAACCAACATCTTTTTTAAACAATTATCGAAAGCTGTCAGTGTTTTTGCCGATTCACAGTTTTCAGTACAAACACTACTGTGAAAAGTATTTTGTACACGTTTGTGTCAATATGAACACTTGTTATTAAAGATTACTTTGTGTCTTGGGTATAATCCTGCATGAGTACTGAACAGATGTTTATCAAAGGAAACAGTCTGGTTTGAGTATAAAGGGGGAAATTGTGCTATGAACAAAGCATTTAGTCTCACCTAGTTTCTGCACCCTCTCATTCATGATCGCCATTTCATCTTCCAGGTCCTGCCTGTAGAGAAGAACAGATGAGACGGAGACAGACGGCTCAATCAGGAGGCTTTCACTCTTTGAAAGAGCCACAAGTGAGAAAGTTTTGTCAGTTTGCATGACTTTCTCCAGCACACGTGTCGTCAAATTGATGAAGATGTTTTCTGTGTCTGCAGCGTGTTGAGCTCTCTGCCTGTGTACTAAAGCACGTCTGCTATTGTTTTGTCACTGACTTGACAAATACAATAAACACCATCCTTGAGCACCTTGTGACAACCTCCACCTTCCTCCTCCTCCTCCTCATCCTCACCTCTCCCTGTCAGAGAGCTGCTCCTTCCTGCTCCTGAACTCCGCCCTCTCCAGGTTGTCGTGGCAACGCGACCGCCTCTCCTCCAATCGATCGATCTGCGATAACAGATGAAATTCATCGATTGAATATATCGATTGAATAAACACAATAATCACGATAATGAAAGAGCAGCGGGTGATGGAGCGACATTTCCCCACGCTGGACGCGAGACACAGAACTTAGCAAGGGTTGGCTAAAGAGCTGCTAGCTAGCTAAATGTAAATAAACCACTTCCGACGTCTCACCTCGGAGGCGACGCTGGTTTTCTCTCGTCTTTTGTCTTTAAGTTTAGTCATCGTGTGTCCGGAGCAGGAGCAGGTGCAGGTGCAGGAGCAGGTGCAGGAGCAGGAGCAGGAGCAGGAGCCACCTCTGCTGAGCGAGCTGAGGTAAACTGTGTCAACGCGGAAGTGCTGCGTCTTCTTCTCCTCGGAATGTTTACCGCTTCAGTGAGGGCTCGGCCGCCCCCTGCCGGTCACCAGTCGCCCACTGGTGCTGCTGCAGCCGCGTCCTCCTGCTCTAAAGTTATAAAATAAATACCGTCGCGCAGTTTCGCACGATTACGTGAATTCTTGCGTCCTCAAGACCCAAACAGTGTTTGTGTCCTGCAGCAGCAGCTCCGATGGAACCACTCAGTGAGTCCTGGGTGATTTGAGGCTGTGGTTTGGCTGCAGTGCTGCTGGAGGCCTCCATTAGGCTCTAATCGGATTATTTGACTTGAGAGGACACGACATGTTCAGATGAGAAGGAAAGAGGTGAGGAGGAAGATCTTTCTCTACCTCCTCTACCTCCTCTCTGGCTTTCTTTTTTATTGCAGGCAAGTCAAAATGCCTCTCTTCATTAACCGGGACCAGATATTTGCACACCAGGTTCATCTGCTGGAGCACAAACTGAGGGTAAGTGACTAATGTCAAGTCTGTTGGAGCTTCATCCAGTAACTGAGCACACACTCAAGAGTTGTAATGTATTTTAACTTTGATGGATTTGTGTTTTCAGAGTAAAGAAGAGCGAATACTGGAGCTGGAGACAGAGAATGCTATTCTTCATCTGAGACTCGCAGACGTAAGAAGATTTATTCTCCCTCATCACCCACAGCACAGGCTTAAAAGTCTGTTCTACTCTGCATTAGCTGTGTCTATCATCATTATTTCTGTCTTTCTGAATGGCTCAAGGTTTTTATGAATGACTCACATTCCTTGTTAACTGCATTTCATATATGTAGAGTGTATTTAATATAATTTAACAATGACTTGCTGGACCCAGGGCTTGAGGACAGTTTTCACTCAGATATTTTAGTGTCCTTGTCTCATGCAAACTAAGTTGCTGAAAACATGCAAATAAAATAAAAGTATTTTGAAGCTTTGAAGAAGCAATTTCCAAGATATCTGCAGTGTTTGTTTTGTGTTCTGACAAAACAGAATTCTGTCATGACATAACATAATTATAATTGCCTGCTATCTTGTGTGTCTATAAGAGAAACCATCTATTTGTATTCTTCTATGATCCCAACCACTCAACAGTTGATGAACAAACCAAGGCTTTTAAAAACTGTCAAAATTCAAGAAGTTAAGAAAGAATGAAAAGTGAAATGATCCAACCCAACTGCATCACAAACTATGCTTTGCTTAAATGAGCATGTTGATGTTATATCATTTTCAGTGTCTGGGGAAACTACGTCACGACCATGAAGAGGAGACCAAAGCGCTGAACCATCATCAGCACCAGAGGGAGGTGCAGAATGAAACCAGGGCCGGCCTCACCAAACTCCTGTCAGGAGTCCAGGTACAGAAACACTGAGCAGCTCATGTGGAAACAGAAACAGGCGCACACACACACCAAAGAGTAGAGTCACACGCCATCTACACACTAATTCTCTGTGTGTGTGTGGCAGGAGGTGAAGCAGGACCTGAGTGAGGTGTTTGCAGTGTACGTGAGTTTTGCCACCGAGCTGGAGGAGCAGAGCAAGCAGCTGCTGGAGAAAGTGGAGCAAGTCGGCTCCTCCCAGAAAGGTCACCGTGGAGACGAGGTGCAGGGTAAGTATCTGAGTGGGTGGAGCCATGAACGTCTTTGGTGTCATGCGGAAGTTTGGTTTCAGAGGGAATGTTTTTGGATTTGGAGTCGGAAAATCCAGGTTGGAGCCTGTGTGCAGTGAGTTGAGTTGAGCAGGCGGCCATTAGAGTCAGCGCCCACAAAATAAGATGGCTTACTAAAGTCGAAACAAATAGAAGTCAGTTTAATCCTTACAATGAATTTGTATAGAGACTTTGAAGGTAAGGACACAATATCTGAGTTTGTTTTATTCCCTCAGGAAAGAAACTATCACATTTTGTTGTGGATCCACAATCATTCTTTTTTACTTTCTTTGACATTTCGAGATTGGGGCATCGTTTTTTAAATTAGTCATTTTTGATTTCAGATGATAATTCATGGATCACGATGGAAAAAAAATGCCGGTGTAAAATGTGATGCAGATTCAAATAAAAAATAAATCCCCATCTTGTGAATGTTAATGTGGTTTCATAACAGACTGTTGGATCTTGGCAGAGGTATGCGCTCTACTGATTTCCATTCTAGTTTGAATTTATGAAAATTTTTCAATCCCTTCCTCTTGGTCGCACATTTTCTACCTGTTACTGCAGTACCTACAAAATCTCCCTTTGTGTCTCCCTGCTGAAGTGTGTGCTGGTAATCCCCCCCCCCCTCCTCGAGCCAGCAGCGTCCAGCAAAGTCAGCTGGTTGCAACGGCTCTGTCGATAGGTGGAAACTGATCTTGTCAGACGCTTTGGCACAAATAAGCTGTCCAGTGCATAACACTCCAAGCCGCTCCGAACAAAGTGGCTTCTCTTGACCTTTTTACTGTTGATGTCTGGTGAAGGAGGAATTTAGAGATTTACCCTCAGTAATCACAACACACTGACACTGTTATATTCTGTGCTGCTACAAACCCTCACTTTTGGGGCCATTCCACCCGGTGGGACCCCTGGAAGCTCACCCTTATTTGGCACTTTAAGCTAAAATCGATTCTAAATTGGATTCCACATGCACCATTCCAAAATGTTTGACACATCATTCAATTTTTGTTTGAATTGGCCATTTTTTATTATTTTTTTGATACATGGACGAGTAAATTTTAAGTGGTAGAATAATTCTGTCAAACCCAGATGAAGAGACACATCCTGGAATAGTTTTTAATCACATGATTGCAAAACTATGATCTAGCAACAGCGATCATTTATATAAATTCATTGAGAACATACTAAAAAAAGAAAGAATCAACAGAATGATTCACACAGTCAGTTAATGTTCTGGGGAATAAGATGCGTGGAGAGAAGATATCTAAGCTGTTTATCTGCTGTTATGTCACTTGTGTGTGTGTTTGTGACAGATCTTCATTCATTCAACTGTTTTCCACATTAACAAAGACACCAGATACACACCTGAGCCATGTCTAATGCATCGGAGAAGCCAGTGGAGGCTTTTCAGTGTTGTTGGTCTTCTTGTTTGTCTAAAAATAAACTCTCTACCTTCCCTGCTCAGACCTGCAGGCCCGTGTTGCAGCTCTGGAGCGCTCTCTGGAGGAGGAGAAGGAGAGGTGCAGGGCAGAGAGGCAGAGGAGGAAAGAACTTCACAACACAGTGGTGGTGAGGACAGATGATTTGTTGTCACACTGGCCAGAAGTAAAGTGTTGTATGTACAAGAAGAACTGCAGCAAAGTAACTTTTTCATCTCTGTTATGCTAAAGGAGCTGAGAGGTAACATCCGAGTTCACTGCAGGGTGCGACCTGTTCTATCCTTTGACCACGTCCAGACCTCTGGACCAGGGTGGGTCCGCACACAATACATAAAATACAGAATGATAAATGACGGCAGTTGTTTGAAATGAGAAAGTAGTCCAATGTTAATACTGTACATCTTTTCCCTTTTAGTCCTGCTTCATCTGAGGAAGTGGTCTGCGCGATCAGTGATGTGAGTTTCAGACTCTAAGATTTGATTCGGTTGCTTTTAACTCAACTCTGTGTTCTTACTTTGTTGTTTTCCCTTATTTTCATGTTTTCAGGACACGGTGATGGTGAATTGCTTGAAGACAGGGATGCCAGTGCAAAACAAGATGTTTGAGTTTGAGAGGTAAAATAATGACCAATGATCTATCAATCACTTTATCTCATTCAAACAATGTATCAAAGTGCTTTAAAGAATAAAATCAATAAAAACAATACCCTTACCCATCGAAGCACAAAGCAAAACAATATCAACCAGGAAAGAAGAAATACTTTTGTAAAATCCAAATTTGAAATAGAAGCACGAAAGACAGATAAATGGAGATAAAATTATAAAGATAAAATTACGTCTTAAGGTAAATCAATAAAATTCAATTCAAAGCCTCAAAGTAAAAAGGAAGCTCTTGAGTTAGCTTTTAAAAACATCCACGTTCTTTACAGTGCTCATTACTGTGAGATGTTTTTTTAATGATGTGATATTTAGGGGTCACTGTGGTAACGTTGTTTCCTCCAGGGTGCACGGACCAGAGGATTCCCAGGACACGGTGTTTGATGAAGTCAAGCCCCTGATTACATCCCTGCTGGACGGGTCAGTGTCAAACAATACAAATAACATGTCGTCCTAGTAATTTAAACACGACCCTGTGTGAACTGAGGGTTTCCAGATGAAGAACAAAGTGAATGAAATACATGTCAAACGACATAATATGATTTAATGGCTTCAGCAGTAATTGAATGCTGCCTCTGTCTCTGCCCTGCAGCTATAATGTTTGTATCATGGCGTATGGACAGACAGGAAGTGGGAAGACTCACACCATGATGGGATCGAACTCCCCAGAAGTGTCTTCAAAGACGCAGCAGGAGGCACAGCAGGGTATCATCCCCAAGGCTGCTGCTGAGCTGTTTCAGTGAGAGACTCTTAATTCAGTTATTGTTAAATCTACAGTGAAATGACTAAATCCAAGAGGAATGTTTACTTTTTAGTGTCTGTTTTTTCTAATTTGCACAGAGAGTTGAGTAGACTGTACTTGTTTGACCTGTCTGATGTTTATCTGTGTATCTCTTCCCTCGTGTGACCCAGGTTGATCTCGGAGAAGCCTGCAGAGAGCCACACCGTGGAGGTGTCAGTGATGGAAGTGTACAACAACGACGTGTTTGACCTGCTGGCTAAAGATGAGCACGGGAACGCCTCCGGCCAGCGCAGGGACGTCATCACCACCTCCTCTGGTACCAGCCAGGTTCCCTCCCTGACATACGAGTGAGTAGATTTGTCGCGTCAGGTCCCATGCTGCTTCACACCGTCGTTTTTTTTTATTTTGATTTGGAGACGCAGAGCAGCCAATTCTACATATTGTATATTTAGGGTCAGTGACTGCTTCCTGCCCAAATGCCAGGTGATGGTGTGTGTGTTTCATTTTGTCTGCATGGTTCACAGACCTGTGTGCAGCGCCTCTGAGGTGATGCAGATCATCAGCAGCATTCTCAAACTCAGGGCTCACTGTCCCACCCTGGTTCACACCGAATCTTCACGTTCTCACCTTATTGTTACCCTCACCATTTCCTCCAAGAGCCCCAATGCACTGGCCCTGGGTGAGACACACACACACCCATTTTAGCATATAAGTGACTGATGGTCACATATTCCTATTGTAACTTTTATCTTTCCCATTCAGCCCGCAGGCTGCAGAGCGCCAAGAAGGACATGCAACGCTGTGCTCAGAAGGAGTGGTGGAGCCCACGCTGTCGCCGTGCCAACCTTTCCGCCCGCTACCCATCTGAAGAGCTCCTGGCAAGCCCCGCCTCCTCTCCCTGCCCCTCACCTTCCCTTTCACCTTGTCCCTCCCCCAGACCCAGTATCTCACAGACTCCGTTCAGGACCAAGCTGCAGCTGGTGGACCTGGCAGGGAGTGAGTGTGTGGGTGAGTGTGTCGGGCCTCAGTGCTCGGGGATGATCGTTGACGGGACCCTGGTCCTTGAGGCAAGAAGCCTTTAGATAAACTGCTGCACGTCTCTGCTCTGAATTCTCTCAGGAGGAAAGAAACTCTTACACAGTAAAGCGTTCTCTGTTTAAAGCCAGCTGGACTGAGGTGTTTATTGTTTCGTATAAGGCCTTAAAAATTCCAATAGGCAGTGTTGGCAAAAAAGAGATTGATGACAGGACATGTGAGTGTTTAGATGTGAACAGTTTTTCGTCTTCTGTGATTTCAATATGTTTTTAGTGCAGATTTTAAACACGAAAAACACGTTTCTGTGTCTGAACCATGAATAATTCACATATTCACAGCACAAACAAATCTATATCTTTGCAGATATATATATATTTATATGTGTTTGTGTTTGTGTCAGGTATGTCTGGAGTGACGGGCGCCGCTCTGTGGGAGGTGTCCTGTATAAACCGCAGCCTCTCCGCTCTGTCTGACGTCCTGGGAGCTCTGGCCGAACAGAGACCACACATCCCTTACAGGAACAGCAAACTGACCCATCTACTTCAGGATGCCATAGGTCTCGCACACACACACACACACACACACACACACACACACACAC